AGGAAGGAAGGAAGGAAGGAAGGAAGGAAGGAAGGAAGGAAAGAAGAAAGCAATTTCTTGATCTGCAAGTCTCCATGTTCCTGTTACTGGGCCACTAACATGAATGGTGAAAAAGGAGAAAGCTATTGCATTGACGTAGGATGCCGTGACAAGACAAACATTCATCTTCATATGCCTTGGACCCCTCTGGAGTCTTAAAAAGGCCCTTCTCAGTTCAGCCACACCAACAATGCCCCTCGAATGCAACCATTAACAGGTCCAGTTGAAACACCTGAAGCCGCACGAGTGCTGCACGGTGTTCTTGGCCAAGGCAGGCTCTTCCCGCGCCCTTAATCACCTGCCAATGGAGCAGGCTGGCAGGATCTGTTTTCTCCCAGCGACTTCGGTCTCCGGAGCGCAGAGTGTGTTTTCCAAATCCCGAGAGAGTTGGCACAGCCAATCTGGTGGAAAAGAATTCTCGATTTAGGGCACGGCTGCTGTTCAGACACCTGATAAAAATCAAAACACAGGATCGATTTTCTTTTCCTTGGCTGGTTTGGCACACCTTATCTTGGGCAGGAGAGCTAGTGAAAAGGTATCGTCCCCTGGGTCGTTAAACAAGCCGTTTCCCCTGGAAAGGAAAAATTGGAGGGGGGCACTGGGCCAGGATGCAGCCCTCCACCCTAACTCCCTTGGTCATTCCTCCTCCCCCCCCCCTTGCCATCCTCAAGGCTTTCTGGGAGAAGGAAGAGAGGCCTGGCTTAGTATGAAAGGAAATACACATCTGGAAGTCCCTTCAGTTAATTGGGCAATTATTCATACTACACTTGCTGGAAACAGCCTTGCTGAAAGCTGGCCAAAGCCAACAATTGAATGTGGGTGATGCCCCACCCATCCCTTCCCCAATCATATAGGGAGCTGGAGGGGAGGGGCCAGCGCTCTGGAGGAAAAGAAAAACATTCTGCGCAAAATGCCACCGTTTCAAATCGTTTTCATTCCAGAGGATGAGGCGATGGTAATCGTAATCATGGGGTGGCCTGATAGGAAGGGAGATGTGTCAGGTTGCAATCTATTTGGTTACAGTAGAGAGCAGAAACTCTGCCCCTATATTTTAGATGTTGTAGGAGAGCTGAGTAGGGTCACCCAACAATTCGAAGGAGCTGGAAACACCTTTTCGGTCTAAGGAATTGTATTCAAAGGCACAAAAGCTTATGCCTTTGAATAAAATTTGTTAGACTGCAAAGAGGCCATCAGACCCCTTCCTGTATTTTATGCATCCTTACAAGGGAGTCAATCAAGGGTGTCTTTTTTGCCTGGCTGGCCTACAATGGTAGGGTGCAGAGCACTGAATATTATGTATCTTGCAATCGGCTGTGCGCTCCTACACCAGCCCTCCTTTCAGCGCAATGGTGAACACTGTTGCCACCAAAGCTGGAGGAAGATTGAACCCCCAGTTGGTTTTTGTGTGGGTGGAAAGGAAAGAAGGATGCTTCGGTGATTAAAAACCTTGGGCCAGCTCTGCCTAGAGTTTCACCTAACAACAAATCCAGCCCCCCTTCCCCAAAAACCCACATTTCACCAAAACGATATCTTACTTTTGGCAATGATGTCTGACTCACCCAGCTGTAGACAATATGTTCGGAAAAGGCACCAGCTGGAATATTTACTCCCCTTTCTCTTGCCTCCCCCAACCCGCCTTCTCATCTTTCCTGGAGGGCTGCAGCTTATCTCGCTGACATTTATTCTAGTTTTGCACTCTCATCCAAAGGAAATTCCTGCCTCTCTTGAAATCCCGTTCCTACCTTTGCACCTGAAACAGTCTCTGGCACCTCACTCCTTAAGTGCTCTCTTTTTCTTCAAAAATCTTTATGGAGCAGCCATAAAGAGGATGCTAACATCTGGCCAGAGGGGAGGGCATGTTAAAAGCCATTTGATCTCCAGCTGTGGAACACTTGGGCCTTCTTCAATCTCTCCTTAAAGCAGTGGGTTTCCATTGAATGGGACTGCGCTGGATTTTCACCCAGCTCTCCCACATTACAAACTGTAGTATCTTTGCGGCCTCCTCAGATGGATTCTTCTGCAATTAAATATAACACTTATTAGAGCAACCTTGGTATGATCCGTGATCGTGATCAAAGTCCATTTATTTATTTATTCAACTGATATGCTGCCCGTCTCCCCCGGAGGGTGACGCTGGGTGGCTC